CACGTGTCAGACCTGTGATTCACGGCTTCATTTGATCAACACTGTGCAGAAGAGAAGGATGTTATTTTCTTCTAAATTACAAATTAGACATTTACTCCCCGCATCTAGTGACAGGGGCTTTGGCTTCTTTATATCCCAAGTGCACCATTTATAGCTCACTGTGGAATTTAAATGCTGGATCTGAAAGTGAAATTTATGTAACAATACAGCATATAAATGAGTCATAGAATCATAGACTTGTCTGAGTTGGAAGGGACCTTTCAGATCATAGAGTCCAACCATTAACCCAGCACTGCCAAACCCACCACTGACCCATGTCCTTCAGCACCACGTCTGCCCGGCTTTTAAATCCCTTCAGGGATGGAGACTCCACCACTGCCCTGGGCAGCCTCTGCCAAGGCTTCACAACCCTTTCCGTGTAAAAATTTTCCTAATATCCAATCTAAACCACCCTGTTTCATGGTCATAGCAAGCTTGCTTGGACCGTTTCCTTTGGTAATCAACAGGCAGAATGCGTTGTCTCCTGGACACCTAAAGGCCTGTTAATTATAGGTTGCTTTCTTTTTTACACACCACATTGTTGTTTCTTTCAGAAAACATCTTTAGAGTTTTGCTCTGACGTGGATTGATGCGTGTTTATACGGCACTTGACATCACTCGCGTCTAAATGTGTCTGTGCAATATATAGGTCTTGTGTGTGACGCTGCTTCTGGAGATAATATTAGCAACACAACAATTGGGAACGGTGAGAACATGCAGTTGTACTATAGGAAATAAAATATCATTTGGTTTTCCCTTCTGTGAAGGAAATTTATGGAGTTCTGTGAACAAGGGCATTTTATTTTGATATTTTGGGGAAAGGATAAGGTTTAAAAAATCAACATTTGTTAGCGATCACAAACACCTAGATGGTTTGCTAATCAAAATTATTCCCACACAGAGAATTCTAACGTCTTGTCTGCCCTGTTTTAAGCAACACTTGAGCTGTCAGACTCCTGGTATTGTCCTCATCACGGAGTCTGTGTCCCCGTGAGCCAGCCCCGCTCAAACACGGGCTCTTTTATTGCGTCCCAGCCCTTAAGGCCACTGCTGGCCATGGCTCCTGCAGGATTGCCCCTTGGCTCTGAAGAGCCTCACCCGAGATAAAATCAGGATATTGAGTAATGCGGGAGCGGCTTTAATGAGGGGTTCAACATGAAAGATGTGTTTTTACCACTTCCACAAATAGTAGAAAATACTAGTTTCCTATAAAATTACTACTCTTCTGCTGTCTCTGGCTGCTACTCTGTGTTTGTTTATGCTTTTAGAGATCGGTAAGATTTGAAACACAAGACCTTGCAGGGGAAAACACAATATGAGAACACTACCGTATTGATTTAAGTTAAAATAAATAAAAAAAAAAATCATTACTTTTGGATCCAAAAGGATTTTTGCCTTCACTTTAAGATATTTTCATTCTCACAACCAGATTTGAGTTGGTCATTGAACTTAAATACTTCATGATGGTTTTGCAGTTATTGAGGATTTTTCCCAAATAAATTCCCAAACTGTTTTTCTGGCCAAATCTCAAAACTAAAGATAAGGTAGGTGTTGGGTCTGCCATTTCTTTGACTGTGTCATGAGTTCTTGTTAGGATATCACTAATATGTAGCTCTTTTAACAGATGTAGGTACTTTATGTATCTCTACTCATCCATATACTTTGATTTGTATGCAGACCTGGTATTTTTATGTCACGTGCCTTACTGAACTCTATAAAATTAACACCTACTACTTCTGTTCTCTTCCTGACCACTTCCAGATGTGTCTAAATGAGGATGCATTGAGAGTTCTCTGTGAACAAGACGTGTAAATTTTGTTTGTATACTTCTGCTTTTTAGCGAGTTGTTCTTTGAGCCACAAGGGGAAAATAATGAAATTGTTCAATCATGGGACTAATTGAGTAGGTGAAGACAATTTTGGGCTACGTGATTCTGGCTTCAAAAGACGTGCTGGATGTTTTAATGCAGTGCTTCACAAATCAGATGACGTGCTGTCTGAGGTGTGTGAAGAGCTGTCTCAGAGAGGAGGAAGGTGCTGCAGAGAACTCGTGTTTGTTCCACAGAATTTCTGGTATTATTCTGGCCCCCCCAAAAATCTAAAATGTTTAAAGTTTGAGAGAACTCTTTCCCTAGGCTTGCAAGGAACCCGGAACAATGAAAGAACAGTACGAACTACCATTGATTTCATGGAGTTCAAGCTCCAATACAACTGATGACAATCAAATTATATTATTCAGCTCTTTTGTGATTTAGCAATTGATATGAGAACAGAAAAGAATGTGTCGTAGTACGATAGTTTACATCGTCTGTTCCTGAAGTGTTTTCCTGAAGAGACAGGCACTCAGCTGTCAGGATTTGCTGGCTGCAGGATGTGAAAGGGATGAAATTAAGTCCTTTGTACAAGACTGAATTTATTTGGCCCAAGACAAGGGATAACAATCAGAAATTATGAAAAGAGGGCATTTGCGTTAGTTCATTTAACGATCAGTGATCGCCGTATTTAGCTGTCTGTGGTCAGTGAAGCCACCTCTGAGGGGAGGCAGGTAAGGATGGAGGATTTGCACCGTAGCCAAGGTGTTGGGTGCTCGATTGTGTGGATGGAGAGCTGTGTTTGGGCTGGGTCACCCGAATCTCCTCATTAATTGTCTTGACAGTGTGCAGCAACGTGGTCTTGCTCTTAGTGCAGGGTTCCTGGGCACCCTTCAGTGCAAACTTCAGACCTGTGGGTGGAAGAGGTCAGAGGGGAGAGGGTTCGGTGACCTTCCATGGTGTCTGAGGACTAACAAAAGCTATGGCACCTAACAGCTTAGATTGGATTTACTTTGGGAAGATGTAATATCCTGTCACTTTGAAACTGGCTCATTTTTCATGGCTATAAGATGATACAATTTACAACAGAAAAAAAAAATCCAGGTTGACAGCCCTAACAGGCTTTCTTATATTACCTGCAAGGTCTTCGTAGCTTTGTTTTTAAGGTCTGTTTCCCTTCTGTTATATTCCTGCGCTGTGGGAATAGCCTAGATGGGGCTCATAAAAACAGTTTGATAAATATATGCTTTAGACAGTCTGGCACGTGGGCACAAAGTGATCTGAGGCTTCATTTCACCTCCACTCCATCCCGATACTGAAGTGTCGCTGGTGCCTACAGTGAGTTGGGGTGGCACACGTGGCCCTTGTCCCCTCAATGGGGTCGGCCATACAAAGGTCATCGTTCAAAGACACTGCACGTCTCTTGTCATTGCAACTGTTGGGGGCTGTGTGGGGTTTTATTGAGTACAGAAGTAGCAAAGTGGGATGAAAAAATAGGTAATTCTTTTTGTCTTATTTCAGAATTAAAACTGGGTATTCTACAGTCACCCACAGAGCAGAAGACAAAAACATTTGAGGTTTATCTGAATATTCTTTATTTTCATTCTTTATTTGTCATTCTTTATTTTTCTTGTCTCAGACTTGGCCTTCCTCACTTGATCTCGTACTTCTCCTGGGTAGGGCTATGAGCGCAGACCGCTCTTGCCTCAGCAGGTCTCCAACGCGTCTCTGGGCTCCTCCATCCCAAACCCCCAAACTGGTCTGTGGTCCTTGCAGGCTGATGTTCCCAGATCTCGGGCGTCTCTCCCTCTTCGGTGTATGTCAAGGTTTCTCAGCACAGAGAAGTGTCCCATGCAGGATCCTCCCACTAAATACCTGTAACTACACACTAAGGTTTCTGCTCCTCCCCGGTCTGCAGGTAGACTTGGAAAGTCTTGGGCATTGGTTGGCTGAGAAGGGAAAGAAGGAGCATGTCCAGAAGAGTCTCTGCTTCAGTGGGGCTTGATATTGTTTTAGGAAAAAACCCTGTGTTTTCTGCGCTCTGGCTTGTTTCCTTGTTGTCTTTAATCATTCTGTCAGCATTATACGCTCCCGTGGAATGGTAGTCCTTCTGGGTAGTCCATGGCAAGCTTCTTGCAGTGTCTCAGGATGCCAGGTCTGGCTCAGGGCCTGGACTGACCACCCAGTCCAAGGAATTACAAGATGGTAGAAGAAGCAGCCAACTTGGCCAAGCTCTTTCAGTGAGACCTAGCTTGCCACACCTCCCATCACCAAATGTGGCTTATCACCAGCTTTAGTGAGTGGGGACTAAGCTTTTCTCTCTCTCTTTTCCTGCCAAATGAAATTATCAGATTCTCCTGAAGTAACGAGCCCGACAAGCTGAGCTGTGATATCAAAGACAGAGGATCAGTGTTTTGGTTGTAGCTGTATTTAGGAAGAGGCAAAACTCTGCGGGGTGTTGGTTGTTGTTGGGTTGGGTTATTTTTATGATCCTTAGTATCTGTTTTGAGCCAGAAGAAAAAAAAGTTCCCAGAGGTGGTGTTTTCTGATACAAACAGGGCCAGGTTATGCAGATAAGAGAGTTTATCAACTGCTCGATGTTTGCAGCTTAATTTTTTTAGGAAGTCAGCTGTCAGTTTGCTTCACCCTGGTGTCCAACTATTAAGATCTCCCTTCGTGTCTGTTCCCCTTCCCATTACAAAACCTCCAATCATGCTAGATTAGTGTTTACTTGTTAAAAACTGCTTTCCATGCAGAGTTGTTGGTAATGGGCTGGTAGAGGAAAGGCACGTGAAAGGCCAGTGTTGATACACCGGCATGCCGGAGCGTTTGCCTGGCCGTGGGCTGCAGGAACCAGGGGGTGGTTGAATGTCCTGCAGTTGTTCTGGCTGTGACTCTTCCCGGGGTGGCAGGTTGCCAGCAGCAAATCTGGGAAAAGGTCCAGAGTGTCAGCGCCTTCCTCCCTGAGATAAAACAGAGAGCGTTTGCCCTTTCCCCACCATCTAGGAGAGGATTTGTGGCAGATTTTGGAGGACTTGAAGCAGCAGGAGATGGAAGTAGATAAGCTGCTTGTAGGTTGTGTGCCAACCTCTCCTTCTGTTGGCTCCTCCAGGCCTGGCACCACTGACGCTGTTTTTGCCCTTCTTTCTAGAACATTTAAAAGAGAAGCTGGAGGAGTACATGGTCCGTTTTGCCAAAGTGAGGATTGTCCGTACCAAGAAACGCGAAGGGCTCATTCGGACCAGACTGCTCGGAGCCTCGCTGGCTCGAGGAGAAGTCTTGACATTTCTGGATTCCCATTGCGAAGTCAACGTGAATTGGCTGCCTCCCTTGCTTAGTAAGTGCTTGAGCCTTCTTCAGCCCTTGAAATCAGAGCGTACAGTGTAGCTTAAGCCATGGAGGCCACCTCCCACAGCGAGCAGGACGTGCCCTGGGTAGGGGTGTCAGTACGAGACAGAACTCGGGGAAGGGCAAGCAGCTCCATCCTCTGCTGCTTGGAGCTAAAGAAGGGGTAAAATTTTAAGTATCACTAGAGTTATGATTTATTTTATTATTACTGCCACTAAATACACTGCTAAATCTAGTATTATGCTGTGCCCTAACTACACACCTGTAAGCTTTTGTCATGCAGGTGTTGTGCTCTTCCTCATCTTTCACATTCTGCTAAAACAGCTTTTGCTGTAAATGTACTCAAAACCCCAGAGTTGCATCCAATAACCAGTGGCATTGGCAGTAGGGAGCTCGGGAGGAATGCTGTGCTGTTGATGGCTTTGCTGGGTTCAGGCTGCAGCTGGAGAAGCTCCATGAGCCAGAGGAACGGGAAGAATCAACTCTTGTAGCCTGGGATTTCTCTCTGGGAACCCATGTCCCCTTTCCTCCACGCCTGACGATGTGCAGCGTGTGTGTGCTTTGCGAAGTCAGGGCTTTTTTTGCTAGCTAAACCAAAGAAAATTCCTGAGCTTACTATTAAAGAAATTTATATTAATTAAAAGAGTGTGGGGGAAGTACATGACAGGGTAGGGCTTCACCAGTTGATGGTTATTGTTTCTTGAATTTAGTTGCTGGGACTGTTTGGCCACATGATAAGCTGATAAAGCATTTGTGGCCCAGAAGAGATGCTGCTCTGCTAATGAACTATCACTTGAGACCAAAAAGACCCAAAATACTAGGAGCTAGTTTTTCTTCAGATCAGGAACAAGATAATGTACAAAATTCCAAGTTTATATCATTTCTCGCTTCTGTATCAAATTACCCGTACAGTCTTTCCCCTTGTTGCCACTTTGCCCTTAATCACATCATCCTTTTTTAAAAATAATCTCCAAGTGGCGTAAAGGAGCAGAGGGAAATAGAGGTTTCAACAATCCTTCCACAAGTACCTGTTAAACGCTCTGGAGTACCCTACATGTATTTTTTTCACTTTTCCTCTGCTTCCTGATTTTGCCCCACTGCACATAATACATTGCCAATGATGAAAAAATCTCAAGAAGATTCTCATTCTCGCCCTCTGCAACCCTTTGCTGAGTTACTGCAGGCGAGACATAAGCCTTCTATTTTGCTAACTTAGATGTGGGAAAATTGCAAGTGGCAAAACCAGTTCCTTTTCTTGCTTTCTTGTCTGAAGGGAAGGTACATCGAGCTGGGTTTCCCCCTGTACAAACTGAAAAATAAACACAATGGTCACAAAGGATTCATAGTTGCAGCTGGGCCACAGTTGGGTTTTGAACTGATGATCTCAATCCTCAGCCTCGAGCCAGAAAACCAGAAGGACGTGAGAAGCTTCAGTAGGGACCAAGTCCCAGCTCTCCTGAGTTCTCAGGTGGAGGGAGATCTTTCTTGTTGTACATACAGTAGAATACCCACAGCTGACCAGGTAAGGCATCTGAAAATCAGTCCTAAGGAGTACTGGAGACCAGAGTCAATAGGCTTTGTTTTGAAAGAAAGAGTAGAGCATTACATGAAGAAGGACAAAAAGAGGGAGTGGGCACATGGATAGTGTAGCTCAGGATGCCCTGTTTTCCCAAAGGGAAAGTTCTTTAACTTTCTCATAACGGGGAGGTGGCAAATATTTACTATACTGTAATCAGATGACACCTGGCTACTAATAATAGTAAAGTTAATGTACCTTTTGCAAATGTTTATCTAAAGATCTGTCTTGTGATTCACCTGGCACCCCATGTGACAGTGTTGTTGAAGGAAAGCCCAGCAGAGGATGTGTTGGGTGTTTATGGCTGGGAGCTGCCCTGTTTGAGCTCTGGTTGTACCTGCAGGCAGGTGGTGTTCAAAATCACACCCTGAAAGTCAAGGAGGATGGGGGTGGGGGTGGTGAGGAAACCGAGAGCAAACACATAAAGGCAGTTCTCAAAGTTATTTTGGTGTCAGTATTGACTGTCCCTTTGCAGAGGGAAGGAGGACTGAGTTTCTTCAGTACTTGGTTGGTATCTAAATAGCCCCGTGGAGCTGAGCCACAGTTGTTTTCGGTTAGTTTTGTTTTCTTGCAAACAGAGGCAAAATGGCTTTTTTTTTTTTTTTTTTAATTTTCTTTCAGCTTTGGGTCTCTAAACTGAGGTAAGCCTCTCAGATCTCAGGGTTTTGCCGGCTGCTCCCGGCGTGGGCAGCTGTAGCCACATGAAGCACTGGCAGACACGGCTGTTTGCTGGGGGTCAATCAACAGGAGGAGGATGTGGTCGGGGCTGTGGGGGCTGTGGCTGAGTCTGGGGGAGCAGGAGTTGTTGCAGGTAGAAGTGTTTCAGAATAAACCTGCTGAGTCAATTGGTTTAGATTGGTTTAAACCTCTCAGAGTAAATAGGGCTTGTTAATTTGCAGAATTTCTGTTGAAATTGCTTGAAAAAACTTGGGTGGAGATATAATACCCTAGTTTTATGTGCGTGGATTATCTCTGATGTGCAGTAACTCCTGGAATGCTGGGTAGTTTTCTTGCAAAAAAAGGGAAAAATGTTTTTTTTTTTTTTTTTTAAATTTTCTTTCAGCTTTGGGTCTCTAAACTGAGGTAAGCCTCTCAGATCTCAGGGTTTTGCCGGCTGCTCCCGGCGTGGGCAGCTGTAGCCACATGAAGCACTGGCAGACACGGCTGTTTGCTGGGGGTCAATCAACAGGAGGAGGATGTGGTCGGGGCTGTGGGGGCTGTGGCTGAGTCTGGGGGAGCAGGAGTTGTTGCAGGTAGAAGCTGGGTGGGAAGCCAGTGGAGATGCAGGTACCACTTTCCCCCCGAGGATGCTGCGGGAGATGGACAGTAGGTCAGTGGTGCCACAGGCGACGCAACCAGGTGTCTAAAACAACACGTGGGGGTTTTTTTCCTGACCAAGGCTTAACTATATCATGATGAGGTCACGCTTAGCGAGTTGTCAAGATGCCTGCTGGCTATAGCTGTCCATCTCCACATCTCAGCCAGTGGGGAGACTGGGAGTGCAACTGCTTCCCACAGCTCAGATAACGAGAGATCCTTCGCTGAGCTACTCAGGTGTGTTCACCACCTCTAACCCCATATTTGTATTTGCCATTACTTGGAAACAAGCACCTGAAATTAAAGGGGTGTGTCTTTCTCTAAAAGGTAAAACAATTTTTTGAGATAGTGACTTACCCAGTATTGAAAACTTCTTTTTATTGCCACACGTGCTCACTCTGCTTGATAGTAAAAGTGTTGAATTCAAATATGTATCTATATAAGGCTTAAAATTGCCAGGGAGAAAGCTCTGAGCAATACTCCCTCTTGATCCCATGCTTTCCCTCAAATGTGCCAGGTTTGTACTTGCACAGTGGTGCTCATCCGTCTGTCCCTCCCTTTATCTGCCACACGTGTGCACTGAAATAACGCATGGGAATTTCCAGCCTGGTGGGACTTTGTGAGAGGATGATGAGCAGAGGCAGTGGAAAAGAACCTGTAAAGCATTTCAGCTGTGATTTTGGGGCTCTGGCATTAGGGGCAGGTCGGGTAGAGAGCAGTGGCTGCAAAGGCAGTGGCACCTTCACATCTGTGAAGCTGTGATACCAGCCCTGCAGCCCTTTTCCCTGTTTCCTAAATTTATATTGGGGCTATTTAAGCCTAAGGAGTATGTATGAAACTACATTTTTTAGGCATTGAGGCTGCAAGTTTGATCACTCTGCCTTTTGCTTTGCATGACTACAAACACCCTGGTTTCTTCAAAAAGTCAAGATCTTCCTGTGGTTCCTCATCATCTCTAGAACATTTCTGGGGCCGAGAAGTCAGTTCTGCAGATATATATGAGAACAGGCAGGTGAGCATCATCTCACTTGCAAAATCCTTGCAGAGCTGTAGAAAGGGAAACCAGAATTCAGTCTGAGCATTGCTCAGATAATTTTCTCCCCATCTCCCCCTGTGTGTGACTCGGAGAGTCCCAGTCCTTCCCTCTATTTAAAGGCAGCAGCCTCTGAAGATCCCGAGAAGGATGCTGGTGTTTTATGAGTCTGCCTTTGACCTGCTCCAGCCAAATCAATCCCATTTAGTCTCTCTCCCCCAGTCAATTTAGAAGGGGGGGATCAGAGACAGATTATTATAAGCCCCATAACTATTAGCAGGACCATCACAGAGAAGAGATTATGTAAAAATGACTTTACATAATGATTACAGATAACACTACACAGAATAGCAGTGAATGTAATTATATTTGGCAGTAGCAGCAGTAATGCAGCCATTATGTCGGAGATGAGTTTCCTGGAATTCTGTGAGGGCCTGTGCTTTAAATTTATTTCACTATTAAAGGATAAGGATGTAAAAACCTGCTGAACTTCCAGGCACAGTGTAATCTTACTCTTGGTCAGCTTTGTTCCCCCTTGGACAACTGAGAATAAATATGAAAATTACAGCTGTTTTGTTAAAATAACCTTTTTTCTTAATTTCAGTCATTCAGAAGCAAGGGAGCAGAGTCTGTGTTATTAATCATTACCCCAATATTACCAGAACACTTTCTGTCTAAGTGTTCATTCCACAGTCAGCCCTCTGGTGTTTTTTTTAGGGTATTATTAAACACCAGTGAAATCTAATCCTTAAAAACATACAACAAACTTTCCACATACGCTCTACAATGTATTGCATTTTGTAAAAGTCTAGGCTACCATTTGGAGAATAAGCTTTATTATACTTGGAATTTTGAGATTTTGCTTTTTTCCCAAGGTTCATACATAGTTTTTCTACTGTCCTTTCGTGCCAACGCAGCGGTGGATCTTCCCTGTACCTCCTCATTTCAGACTGTTATTCTTCTGCCCCATTCTTGCAGCTGGAATATCTTCTTTACTTTTCTTTCTTTCCTGAGGAGCTCTGTGGGTTTGAGCAGTGGGATTCACCAGAGCAGACTTGGGCCCACCCTGCCCTGGTACCAGAGATGGGGATTTGATTCAGCCTCATGGTTCTATATTAATAAAAAAAAAAAAGAAACTCCTTTCTTTAGAAAGCAGGTGAGGAAAAATAGTAGTGTAGAGTGTTCTTTGTATCTCAAAAAGTATAAAAAAAAAAAGAAAAAGAATGCAAGCCCTGTTTTGTTCTTGGTGCTGGCGTTTGCCTTTGATCAGTGGGGTTTGTCTCCAGGCTGGTGCACGGGGAGCCGCGGCAGCAGCGGCTGGAGGGTCGCGGGGGCTGAGGCTCACGTTCAGGAGCACAGATCTCTCTTGCCACTCACCCTCCCCACGGCTGGAGGAGGGTTTTCACATTTTCCTGGCTGACAGATTGGGGACAGCCCGGAGTAGCAAAGTGACAGAGACAGAGCGGCGTGGCCTCCTGCGGGTCTCGCAGGGATGCGCCCCCCTTTAAAGAACTGTAAATGCTTCTAATCATTGCCCGGCTGCATTAAGTCCACTTTAGATAAGGGTTGGATACAGGTTTGACAAATGAGCGGGTGCGGGCCGCGGCGGAGCAGGGCCAGCAGTGGGGGGAGGCGGCGGGGCCGGCTGCGCGGCGCCGTGATGGATGGCCGGGCCAGGCCTGCCGCTTCCCATTCTCTGCTTTCATTTTTCAGACCAGATTGCGCTGAACCACAAAACCATCGTGTGCCCCATGATCGATGTCATCGACCACAACCACTTTGGCTACGAGGCGCAGGCGGGGGATGCCATGCGAGGAGCTTTTGACTGGGAGATGTACTACAAACGGATCCCCATCCCTCCGGAGCTCCAGCGGGATGACCCCAGCGACCCCTTCGAGTAAGTAGCGGTGAAGGGCAGAGCAGGGACGTGACACCCAGCCAGCAACGGCGGCCACTCGGGCAGAAGAACCCAAGCCCAGAGATGTCCATGTGGGCCACTTTGTACTAATGAATCATAGAATCATTCAGGTTGGAAGAGACCCTTGGGATCATCGAGTCCGACCATCTCCCCTACTCTACAAAGTTCTCCCCTACACCATATCCCTCAGTACCCCATCTAAACATCCCTTTAACACAGCCAGGGATGGTGACTCCACCCCCTCCCTGGGCAGCCTGTTCCAATGCCCGACCACTCTTTCTGTGAAAAATTCCTTCCTAATGTTCAATCTAAACCTACCCTGTTGGAGCTTGAAGCCGTTCCCTCTTGTTCTGTCGTTAATTACCTGTAAGAAGAGACCAGCACCAACCTCTCTACAGCGTCCTTTCAAGTAGTTGTAGAGAGTGATGAGGTCTCCCCTCAGCCTCCTCTTCCTCATACTAAACAGTCCCAGCTCCTTCAGCCGTTCTTCATACGATTTCTTTTCCAGCCCCCTCACCACCTTCGTTGCCCTCCTCTGCACCCACTCCAGCACCTCGATATCTCCCTTGTATTGAGGTGCCCAGAACTGGACACAATACTCAAGGTGTGGCCTCACCAGTGCTGAGTACAGGGACATAATCACCTCCCTAATGACACAAACTGCTCCTATAGGGGTTTTTTAAAGCCTCAGAGCTAGGAGAAAAAGTTGCAGAATTCACAAGCTGTGCCTGGAAGCACAACCCTTGCCCAGCTTTTCTAGCCCAGCGGCTGTACGGAAAAGAAACAGGCACATACTGGTGTTTAAGGGGAGGTACTGACGTTGGACAAGGAGCCAATGTGACTGCAGTTATTCTGTTTATTCCACAGACTTCCCAAACAGGCTGCAGGGTGATGTTTGCGTTGCTGGAGGTTGATGCAATGCATTGATAGCTGGTTCTGTGCTGTGTTTATGACTGATGGTATTGCTGCTGTACACGTGTTGCTGTAACCGAAACGCGGGGCTGTCAGACCTGGACACTGTCCAGCTGGTTTGTGAATAACTTCTGATAAGCCGGCCTCTGGTCGCAGTGTTGTGTAGATCAGCTCATTCACAGGAGTGATCTCTTGCTTTTCATAAAGATAGATCCTTTTCCCTTTTCCCTTTTACTCCCTTTTCCCTTTTTCTTTTTCCCTTTTCCTCCCTTTTCCCTTTTTCTTTTTCCCTTTTCCTCCCTTTTCCCTTTTTCTTTTTCACTTTTCCCTTTTTCTCCCTTTTCCTTTTTCTCTTTTCCCTTTTTCCCTTTTCCCCCTTTTCTTTTCTTCTTTTTTTCTCCTGTGAGGACCAGCTAGGGTTAAGCGCATCAGCAGGGAGAGGACGGACAGACAGACAGACTGGGTTTGGTGTGGCAGTCCCCAGGTCTCTCTGGGCCATCCCCACAGGGCTGGCTCCAGTGCAGCCCATAACCCCTGAGGCTGAAGCTCCCCGCTGAAGGATTTAGCAGTTTAGAAACTCAGCTTTTTCCCCTCCCCCTGGAAACAACAGCAGCAGAAACCTGTGTCTCTGGCCCAGACTCCGCACGGTTTTGAAGTAATGGATCTGATTCCCGCAGAAATTGACGCTTATATCCAGGGAATGACCAGCTCTGTATAGGGAGAAGTCGAGAATTGCGGCATTTGGTGGGTTATTTTCATTATTCTGCTTGTTCCTTTTAACTTATCTCCATCTAATCCCATCAGTCTTCATCTCACATTGGTGTAAGTGCTGATGAAGTGCTTTCCATCAGCGGCCAGTGTGACTGCTCCATCACACAGATGCAGCCCGTGCAATCACACAGCACTCTGGTGTTGCTCTGTTGCTCTCCCGCGAGCCTTCCCCGTCCTCTGAGCCCTTGTCATTTCTTGCTACCTACTGAACGTCACCTGGCATGTCACAGGATTTGGTTCCGCAGTCAACATTTGGGTATCGGTAGCACTTCTCTACAGCCAGCATTGCTATGGGGTGGCTTATCAGCCATTTGGCACGCCTGCACTTCGTAGCATGTGTCTCCCGAAGAGGAGAGGGGCCCGGAGAGGGGGTGCTCGGGGGAGAATTCTCCATCAGATGAGACTTTGTGGCTTTGTGCTGTGCAGAACAGACGTGGCAGTTCCACATCAGCATGGCCACGGCGGATGCCCACCTCGCCCTGCCTGCATCCGTACCACACACGGGTAGGTGGCTTTGTGAGGAACAGCACATCAGAGAATCACAGAATGGTTTGGGTTGGAAGGGACCTTACAGCCCCCCCAGTGCCACCCCCTGCCCTGGGCAGGGACACCTCCCACCAGCCCAGGTTGCTCCAAGCCCCCTCCAACCGGGCCTTTAACCCATCCAGGGATGGGGGTTCAATCAGCCACAGCTTCTCTGGACAACCTGGGCCAGGCTCTCACCACCCTCACACCAAACAAGTTCTTCCCCACCGTGGCAGCAGGACCCAAGGCTGCCTGAGCCAGGTTGGCATCTTTGCTTAAAAGCACCCTCTGCCTGGAAGTGTGAGGGCGTGGAAGTGTTTTAAATAGTCAGGATGAATTTTGCTTAGAGGAGGAACTATTTTCTAATTCAAAGTCAGTACTGCTGTTCTCCTAGGGCCTTCTCTGCTGACACCTCCAGCTTTTAATACCTTGTTTACCACAGGAACAGTAAATGTTACAAACCGCTTTAGATATCAGTAACTTAATTGACCAAGACAGCATCTATAGAAGTAAAGAGACAGAACAGTTTTCCTTTAGGTGCATATACACTAAAACTAGGAATAGCTTCAGCCAGCACCAAAATTATGTTACTATTTTGTAAGCAGTAGGAATTTTATTTTTTTTATTTAGGTTAAATATTTTACTATTGGTACCCTAATAGCTTTATTTCTTGCCAGCAGCATCAGATCTGAGCTGATCCTTAATGAACTGGAAAATTGTCAGCATTTTTAGTAAAACACCAGCAAATAATGGGGACAAGATCCAAAAATTGTGCTGATGAGTTCTTTTTCCCCTCGGTTAAAATGCCGTCTCAGTATGTGTGTGTTAACCAGAAAAGGTGGCACCAGCCTAAGAAATGAGGTACACAAACCCAGATCAAGCTAGAGAAGACCTCACAGCAGACATTGTATTACCTGGACAATAGCTTTGCTTTCCATCTCCACAGGAGCTCCCAGCCTGCCAGTGCCAAGGTCAGGTACGGATGATGTACTAGCACCAACCTGGGAGCCACATCGCAAATTTATGACTGCGTTTGTCTACAAAAAGTACCGGTTTGGTTCAGGTGCAGATTGTCCTGGCCAGGCCAAGTTTCCCGGAGGTTTCACTGAACCGTGCTATAGCCATAGAAAATGTATTTTCAGTCAAAGCTCCTATGTGAATTATTGGTTATTGCTCTGTGCTCACTCTAGTGTTTAGGAAAGTTTAACAGCTGTTCCATTAATGGATCTCAGGTAGCCTTTAAGATTAGCTGTTTTTCTGAAAGATCACTGTTGCTGTTTTACAGGATACGTTGAATCCTTAGAGGCGTGGAGATTGGACTTCACCCCTAATAACGTTACCTTCCCATCCGGAGACTAACTCCGTGAACCCCTGGTGGATTCCCCTTTTTCATGTGCCAGGGGAACAAGAGGTGTTTGATGTTGCCTTCAGCTGAGCTCATCACACTTGGCTGCAGTGGTTTTTCTCTTGCAGTTCATGTACAACTGCCTCAGTGTGTTCTGAAGGGGGCTGTTTTCCTCTGGTGCATTCAGGGTTGTGTAAATGACATAGAGCAAATTGGTGCTCTGATGTGTTCTGGGAAATTGTCAGACAATCCTGAAATCATCATCATGTCATGATGATGCTCCTTGTCTTGATCCCAGGGTCAATGATTGTTCAGCAGACTCTGGAGTTTTTCTTCTAGTCTCCAAGCAGGGAGGACCAGAGATATTTATCTCCTTTGTGGCGACGGTCACCTCAGGTTATTGTCTCTCACTGGTTTATTTTTCTGTCATGACAGAGGTTTGGAACATGGGACATGTGGGTTTGGGACATCAGAGCATGCTCTTGCTTCTGTGGTGCACGCATTCTAGTCTCTGGAGGAGTCTGCCTAATCCGAGTTACTTAAACTAATAGGGTAACCTCGTTACTGTAATGGACTGTGATGTACAACACGCCAGTTGATATGATTTAGCAGCCTGTTTGGGCTTAGAGCTCCATGGAAGTTTTAAGTTTGATATGCTGCATCCTGCTGGGGATGGCTGCTTTTTATTCCCTGGCAGCACTTACATTGCATCAATTCGTGTTATCACACACCCGATCTCAAAACGGGCACCAGTGCCCATTCATGCCAACAGCAACATATTTTTAACCAGACAAGAAAACATCAACAATTCAACTCAAAAAACTATTTGGAACAACCACAAACTAATCGAGAGGTTAAACATAGCACGGGTTGGTTTGGGTAGGAACGGGCTGTTACAGGTTCTCAGAGCAGTTTCATGGTGGTGTAGCTTGATGGTACAGGAGGGAGGGAAAGGTGAGACCTAACGGCGTTGCTACTGGATTGGAACTCATGATGGAAATCCTAACCCGTGAGAGAAGCCTTGGGCTGCTTACTGGCCACCAAGACCTCTAGCACCCACCTGGGAAAGTTCATGGTGTTTTGGTGTATGACCACTCCTTACTCCAAGAGCTCCTTGTTTCTGAGGTATAGCCGTCATCTCCAGACCTCCCTGAAGGGACACAAAGCTGAAGAATCCAGTATTTCTAGCAAAGGGCCAGAACAATCGTTTGGCCAATACTGGGCTGGCCAAGGAAGCAGAACCAACTTTGTGACCTCTGATGAGGCATTGGTTGCTGTACTCAGTTTCCTATTTATAAAATAGGAATAGAATCACTCCACCATCACAAGGCTACTTGGGTGTGAGTCTGGCAAAGGTTGTAGGATTGAGATCTCGCCATAATAGCAGCCACCTATGGTTTATGGATGTACTTTTTGGTAAGATTTT